CCCCCTTCCCGTCCGCATTCCTGCGCCCGCTCGCACCTTCCACGTGTAACTGTCCCACACACCTTCGGTGCGTAACTGCCCCATGCACCTCCCCTCCGCCCTCTCTCTCTCTCTCTCTCTCGTGCACGCGCCCGCTCGCTTGCTCTCGTGGAAGGTGAATCGTGACTTTGACTAAAGCTGCGACCCCTGAATCATGACGTTGACTAAAAGTTGCAACCCCTGAATCATGACTTCGACTAAAAGTTGTGACCCTGGTTTTGACGGTGCGGATCTGAACTTAGTTCATTAAAATTTTCGGGCAAGGTGCCTTTGTGCTGCCAGTGATGACTAGCCAATTGCCACCCTCAATTATCAGCCAGGGTCCCTTTTTTGGGAATGGTGACTGCACCCAAAGAGAACGGCGAGCGTGGTGGGATCCTCATCACTGGAGATCGTGCAAAGCTATGGTGTGCACAGCAGCGGGGTTCTCTGCCCAATCACATCAGTTCATCTGTGAGGACTGTGGAAAGATTAAACAGTGGGAAAAAGGACTGTGGAAAGATTAAACAGTGGGAAAAAGCCAAATGATGTGTGTGGGTGGAACAATGGTTGATCATATATCTCTAAAGAATGCATGAAGATGACCTGGAACCATCTCTTTTTTCCTTCTTCTTACTGTAAAAAGGACCGTCGGTCGATTTCTGCATGTCATCATTGCGCGGGGGCCATGCTACTCTTCTTGGTATCGTTCCAATTGCAATGGATGTCTTGGAGGTGGATCTGGAATCATCTCCTCTTTTGAATACCTGGTGTTTTTATGTCTCTGAATCTCATTTTCTTATCGGGTGCGTTTTGCATTGCCGGGCTCTTTGGTCCTCTTTTTCAGGTTGCAGATATTCGGCGGTGCAATGCCCTTGTGAGTGATGTACAGATGTTTGCGCGAAAGGTTTTGCGGATTCCAACACCCGGTCCATTTCCAACGTGCGGTTCTTGTGAAGCTGCCTGTGAGCCAGGAAGCTCAAGGTATGGCCGCCTTTCATGAATGCCGGGGTTTGATTTTTCTGTGTATTTCTCGATGCTTGATTGCTTTTGTGTGGCTCGGAGTCATGGCCAAGGGTGGCCTTGTGCGATGGCCTTGCATTTTCTGCCCTCATCTAACAAGAGCCAAAGCTTATGCAATGGGGGCCTCTGCCACTGCATTTCTTGGTGATGGATTAGGAAGGCTAGCACAGGTGTTATGCGTGTCTTCGGGGGAAGCACTGAAGCTGCTGGAAAAATATCACCATCCTGCTGCTGCGTGCAATGTTTTCGTAATTGCACTGGATGGCAGGTGTGGCCATTAAACCACCAGTACTTGGCCTAGCTATAGATGCCGAGCCAAGCAACCCCCTGCACGCCAAGTTTTGGGCGCCGTTTCGTTTTTTTGTCTGGCTGACGCTTCCAGCCGTTGTGGTCCGGTACCCCGAAGCCGGCAGGTCGCGGCGCGGTAACGTGAAATGCCCGCGGCCGACGTATGGGAGAAGTACTGGTGGTTTAAGTCCAAGCCAAACTCTTGTCATCGGACAACCAACCTGCTAGAACGATAGCAGAGGGTGCAAGCATGAACTAAATACAATAGGAAAGGGTACAACCACACTGTGTGAGATGATGTCAGAACAGCACTGCATGCATCACCAAGAGCCAAACGAAGTCTTTAGGCTGAGTGAAGCACCATCATCTGCATGGCACTGACTGACTGGACTGGACTGAGCTGGTCTGTGCTTAGGGTGACAAAACGATGTCATTATGGAACCCAGGCGGAAGACGGGAGTAATGCAAAGGTCTGATTTTCTTCAACCTGCGGATTACCAGGGCCTATGGAGTGTTGAAATGCAGAACTGAGTTCGAATCCAGAATGGATTAGAAGAATGAACTTATGCGGGGCTGGTCAGTCTGACGTTGGTCGTCGCCGCTTCCAAAAAAAAATCAAACACAGGGGCCCCATCTCAAGCACCATTAGACTATGGGGCGGTGATCACAAGTGTCATCTCTGCATGAGGTTTCAGAAAATGCATCTGCGATGAAGGCGAAGGTCTGATTTTCTTCAACCTGTGGATTACCAGGGCCTATGGACTGTTGAAATACAGAACTGAGTTTGAATCCAGAATGGATTAGACAAATGAACTTATGCGGGGCTGGTCAGTCTGACGTTGGCCGTCGCCCCTTCAAAAAAAAAAAAAAAAAGAGGGCCCATCTAAGCACCATTAGACTATGAGGCGGCGATCACAAGTGTCATCTCTGCATGAGGTGGTCAGAAAATGCCTCTGCGATGAAGGCAATGGGTCTAAAGCAACTCTGCAAAGGTCTGATTTGCGTTGGAGGATCTCCCCTCTGACATGGTTATTTTGCTGAGTTGGTTGTGTTCTGTAGCACAGAGCCTGCCGTCAAACGGGAAGGATCTTCCTTCACACTGAAGGATCTTGAGGGTGGTTGTTCACCCAATGATGTTGCTGAGGAAGAGCACCCCTCTGTCATTTTTGACTCCACTCGGTACTGCCACCTTTTGTAGTTATTGCGGAGATCATCCTAGGAAGGTATGTACTGTGTATATGCATGTGATGCAGGCTAAACCACCAGTACTTTTCCTAGGACCAGCCATTCTCTCTGAGCCGGTCGTGCATGCCCCGCGACTTTCGGGGCTCATTCTACTGAAGCGAAATGGCTGTGTGGCGCCAGCCTGAAAAGATCCGAAAGCGGTTCGTTTTTCTTTCGGCACGCAGGGGGGAAATGCACTTCGGCAAAAGAAAGCCTCCCAAGCACTCTTGTGGTTTAAACTGCCTAATTCCAACCTCAGAATTTGCAGTCTAAACCCCGAAGACCCAGGTTCAAGGATGGTTATCAAGAAGACTCAGATTCCCAGTCCGAAATTCCCAGATTCTCCATACTTATAGTCTCTCCTGATCGAATACCTTGACGTGCCAAATCCCAACCAGAAGACCCTGGTTCGAGGATGGTTGTCAAGAGGATGTGCTGCCTGAACGGCTTGGTGTAGCTCAACATGATGCCAAGGTCTTTGATCTCTTACCTGGAAGCCAGCCCCGGAATCCTATTTCTCTTGCACGGTGCTGGCTGAAGTAGAGAACCTGCAAAGGTTTTTTTTTTTTTTTTTTTTTTTTTTTCCGGGCATGTAAAAGAGCTTTGGAGAGATCGGTGGGATAAGACCCCGTCAACAGTATGGGGTGCCGGTTCCTTTTTTTTTTCTTTCTTTTTTTTCTTTTTTTTTGCCAGAAAACATTTGATTGAACTATCAGATATGGAACTGAGGCCGGTGACCTCACAATTCTACTTGATGGGGCTCCCGTTCTGGTTGTCCAGAAGAATAAAAGTGTACTCCGCTTGTGTATCTTTTATTAGTGGGCTTTGAACCCTTATCGCTCGCAGGGTCTATCTTTTGCCGCACTTTGACAATCGTCTCTATTGTGTGGTTGGGGGTTGTGCAAGGTCTTCTTGAAAGGCATCGCTGAATCTGGGTACCACTGGGCCAAAGCCTTTTTGGCGGGGGGGCTTTATTTTGTTTCAAAAGGACCAAAGCCTAATGTGATTGATCTGCATAAGACGATCGTCAAGACATTTCAATGGACTTCGAGAATACCTCCACCGGAATAGAACGCCAGGTCATTATCGCGGTATCTAAAGACTGAAAATTACCCCGAATACGATAATGATGACCGTGCGTTCTAATCGGGTGAAGAGGGTAGTTTCCTACAGAACTTTTCAGAATCTGAGGGTAGTTTCCCTAAGAGCCTTTTCAGAATCTGATGGACGGTGTTACTCAACCGCCAAAGGAGCACGAGCGATGCTTGCAAGGAGTCCTTAAACTGCCAGTACACGGCCCCAGGCTTGCAGAAAGAAACTCGCCCCCCCGCCATCTTTTTCCCCTCGACAACTTTCGGGGCCGGTGCACCGTTGATAAATTTTATCAATGGCTGGCGTCGGCGCATTACAGGCCTCCAAAAGAGGCCCGCGTTCGATGTATGGGTGTACTGGTGCTTCAGCGTCTTGTGCGAGGAGGTTTGTCGACTTTGGGAAATCCGAGTTTGGAGTGACAGTGCCATTGTCTTGGGCAATGGATTTCTGCTAATGTTTTGGAGCCCAAGGGAACCACAGAGGGAGGTTATAAAGGAGTGGTGTCCGCCTACCGGTTTTCCCCGAATAGAGCGTACCGCGGTCATCCCTGTATCTGGGCTGATAGTTGGTGCAAACGGAGGCATAATTGCCGTAGGTTCTATTCGGGTGAAGATGGTAGTAGGCACTGTACGCAACGGGTATTCTTTCTTGGATTTAGCCTTGATTTTGTCCCAAGTAAATTAACTATTTTATACGGTTAAGTATATTGTAAGAAGAAGAAAATTGTATTTTTTCTTTTTCTCGAAATTACTTTTTAGAAATCTATTTTTATAAGGGAAAATTTGCAAAATACCCCCATAAGTTGAGAGATCTGGCAAAATGCCCCTGAAAGATGTGGGTAGAGTGGAATGCCCTTTTGGGCCTAAATCTTTGTGTTGTGCCCCTGTTAGGCGGGTGTGCAAGTTTGCAATCTGGACTTCCCTGTCTGGGCCTTGGCCTTTTGCAATAGCGCCAGGGTTGCATACCTGCCGACCGCCGACCCCGACCGCCAACTGTGTTGCAGCCGACCAGTAGGGCCGACTGGTCGGTGGTCTGCTGACCAGTCAGAAAACAACCGTCCACTGATTTTTTTCAAATCTGAGTTGGGGGCTGTACTGCGCTTGCTGAGTACAGCCCAAATCTGCTGAGAAACCTTGCTGAGTACAGCCCAAATCTGCTGAGAAACTTTTGGGGATGGGGGGGGTAATGGGGGGGTATAGGGAGGGCATAGGGGATGTATAGGGGGGGTATAGGGGGGGGATATAGGGGTGGTATAGGGGGTATTGGGGGGGGGGTAATGAGGGTGTTGGGGGCGGTTTGAGGGTGTTGGTGGGTGTATGGGGGTATTGGAGGCCGCTATCGGGGTGTTGGTGGTGTTATCAAGGGTTCTGGATCCAAAAAAAGAATCAAAAAAGGAAAAAAAGTTTTTTTTTTTTTTTTTTGCGGGGTGCCGATGACCTCCGACTGGTAGGTGCTGACCAGCCAACCGGTCGGCGGGCCGGCAGCTGACCAGTCAAGGGCCATTGACCGTCCAGGTATGTAACACTGAATAGCGCCTAGATAAAGTTGGCAAGTACTGGGGCATTTTGCAAAGTTGAACAGCACGCTGTAGGGTTATATTGCAAAGATGGGGGTCCAACCGATGCCAGGGGTATTTCACAAAATATTTCTTTTGTCAGAGGGGCATTCTGCTCTACCCACATCTTTTAGGGGCATTTTGGCATGTATCTCAACTTATGGGGGTATTTTGCAAATTATGTCTTTTTAAAATCATTATTGTTTATTCGGCTATTTCTATTATTTGTGTTCTTGATTTTATACAATACTTTCTATTATATTCAATAAATGCCAACATATAATTGATTAGAAAATTCTCCTTTGCCATAAATTGGTGCCTGCAAGAGAGGAGGCGTTTTGCTTTTCGTCCTCCCAAATCCCCCCCCCACCCCTGCCTCCCTGTGATTGATCATCTTGTCCGTTGGATAAGTGATAAGAGGACCTCACCCTTCATCGTCATCACTGAGGTCAGACTGGCCAGTCCTTTGGAGGCATAGGCGCAGAGGTGCAGCGGAATCCTTGCGAGGGACTGAAACCTGTTTCGCTACCCAGAGGTGCGGTGGCCTCGGCCGGCAAATGTGAGCTGTTTGTGCCGTAGAGTCTATTTCCTACTTGAGCAACATGTCAAGGAAGCTCTTTTCTGACCATCAGGCGTCTGCAATGGCTGAAAAAAAAACTCAACCCAAGCTGTGGAACGCAAAAACATGATGCCTATGAGCTTGAGCTCAAACACACAAGAAGCAAGGAAGGAGCTCCTTCAATTTGCATGGCTGAGGGTACTTGATACAGCATTGCCATCTCAAAGTTTTGGCTGTCTTCATTTCTTGTCTTTGACTTTGCTCGGATGAGCTCTTTCGGTCCCCCATTGAGATCAGAACTTGCAACCGAAGATTCGTTTTGCCGGTTCTTTTCCACAGTTCGTCGGAAAGAAGACGACGCTCTGATAATGAGCCTGACTTTTCTTGCCAGTTCTTCGAACTCTCCTTTCCTTGTTTTTTGCTTACTCGGACGAGCTCGTGCAGTCCCTCGTTAAACCGCCAGTCCATGGCCCCAGCCTTGCAGAAAGTTTTTGTCACCAGAAGCAAAACTCGGAGGCGCCGCATGGCCAGGCCCACTGTTGAAAAAAAAAAAAAACAAGGGGGCCTCCGAAGTGGCGCGGGTTTCATGCTTGACACCTGCGGGCCGACATGTGTCGTACTGGTGCTTTTAAGGTTTCAACTTACATGTAACAGCCGAAGGTAGCTTCATATCGTCAGTTCTATTCCAGTTCGCCGGAAAGAAGCCGACGCTCTGATAATGAGCCCGACTTTTCTTCGTGCCAGTTCTTCGAAAGTTTTCGGAATGATCTGCAATCTTTCACCGTATGGATTTCTGGATATTTCAACAGCTTTCGTGCATGGGTCTTTCGTAGACACCCTACCCGGGGTCAACAAAAAATCAAGCATAAGTACTTCCCTGAGAATCAAACTTGGCTTGGTTTTCACGGCCTTTCCTTGCTTTTCGCTTACTCGGACAAGCTCATGCAGTCCCTTTTAAGGGTACAAGTAACAGCCGAAGGTAGCGTCGTATCGTCAGTTCTATTCCAGTTCGTCGGAAAGAAGACGCTCTGATAATGAACCTGGTTTCTTGCGAGTTCATTGAACTACTCCATTTCTTCGACGTACTCGGTTGAGCTCGGTCAGTCCCTCGTCGAGGTTGCAACCGACACAGGCTCGTTTTGTCGGTTTACATCCCCGTTCGTCTGAAAGGAGACGGCGATCGTAAGAGCGCTTACGCTCTACAAACGACAAAAAACGGCAACCGGCGAACCCTATGGAAGACCTCCTCAGATCCAATGGATCTGGGTTTCAAAAGACTGTTCTATGTAAGATATGCTGATGATTTTGTTATTATCATAACAGCAGCAGGATCCAGAGCAGATGCTGTCGAGATCCAAAGCTTGGTGACTCAATTCTTATCGGATAATGAGCCTGATTCCTTCCAAGTAGTTTGATCTCATGCAGTGAACTCCTTTATACTGTTGCAATGTGTACGTTATCGGACGGATACACTGTAAAGGAGAGCTCAATGAACTCGCAAGAGATCAGGCTCTATTCCTGATGTTTTTGCAAGAATAGGGGTTCTATTTGTCCTTTGGGACATCAATTAAAGTTGGAAAAGATAAAAGAGAAGGTTAGCATGGCCTCTGTGCAAGGATGCAAAAAAAAAAGATTAGAAAAAGGGGAAAAAAAAAAAAAGGATTAAAAAATGATTTGAAAAATATTAAAAAAAGATCAAATAAATGTTAAGATTTTTTTTTAAAAAAGAAGAAAAGAGAAGGAATCTTGAAAAAAAAAAAACTACAGAGGAAGGATGAAAGTTTGCGAGTAGGGAGAAGACACGAGCAGGCAGGGAAAGTTTTTCAGATATTCTTATCTACCTGACATAGTTTAGAGTACGATTCATATGGTATCCATGGGAGATTGCAGATTGAGCAACAATTCTCAGTGCATACTCACACCAGGACTTTTTACTTGTTTCTGGACGTTATTCCGGCCAGATACCATGATAGTGCGACTGGTGATGTCGATGCAGCCAAAAAAAAATAAAAATAAAAATAAAAAGATGTAGATGCAGCAAAATACATTTATGATAGTGTTAGTGTGAGTACGCCCTCAGTCGTGCAAAGAAAACAACTTATCATTGTTGCTCTTGTGTGAAAAGAGGGGTGGTGAGCACATCCACCCTTTTTAGGTAATCGTGGGACATCTATGTGGGTGTGTTTCTGGTTCAAAATGATAATATGATAGATGATATAGCTCCCAAGGAGCCTACCTATCTCTCTCTGTGTGGCAGAGAAACCTAAGCTTAAAAGTTTTGACGAGTTGACACACGTCTTAACAGGCTGTGATTCGTCTCCCCTCTCCCCTCCCCCCTCCCCCCTCCC